AAAGCAGATATTGCTAAGAGCTGAAGTTCAGAGGCTGTCAGATTGGTGTGCAGATAACAACCTGGACCTCAATACCACCAAAACAAAAGAACTGGTAGTTCACTTCAGAAGGAGGAAGTCCGAGCTGCAGCCTGTCAGCATCAAGTTTCTGGGTGTGCACATAGACACAGACCTCCAATGGAGCTCTAACACCTCTGCGGTCTTAAAGAAGGCCCAACAGCGTCTCCACTTTCTGAGAATCCTCAGAAAAATGGACCTGAAGAAGGAGTGTGACCGTTTCCTACGGTGTCCATTGAAGAGTTGCGTAACTGGCATCGGGTGGTTCTATCAGCTGCACCACCAGCAATACAGAAAGGCTCGATTATAATTATAAAATATTGACCGCTGTCTCAAGAGGGCACGCAGCATCCTACGGGACTGCACACACCCAGGACACCGGGTGTTTAAGCTGCTGCCGTCTGGCAGGAGGTTCAGGCTGCTGAGGTCCCGAACAAATAGACTCAAGGACAGCTTTTACAACAGGGCAATAGCCCTGATCAATGTAAATAGCTGACCTGACTGGATACCTCCCTGGACTTTTTTAGGGGGGAGGTAACAATGTTTAAAACGATAACAATAATATTTATATTTATAACAAGGTGCAATAATAATTAATGTTCAATAATAACTAGTGATGGGTCGTTCGCGAACGAAATGGATCTTAGAGCCGGCACTTTGACGTGAACGACGCGAGCCGACTCCTTATCGCGAGCCGTCACGTGGTTTTTTTTGTTTTTTGTTTTTCTTTCTCTCAGCCTCTCTCTCGCACTTTTTTCCGCTTCACTCTGCACGCGAGCCTTGTGCTTTACGCTGGGCAGAGGGGGGAGGGGCGGTAGTTACACTCAGTAGCACAGGAACAGAGCGGGAGGGAGAGAGAGAGAGAGCCAGGGACAACAACGTCACATTAGAAAGGTATAGTAATCATCCACAACTATTTTCGGTTGCAGATGATAAAGGATTCAGAAAGTTTATTCATGCAGGTCCATATGACAGAGAATATGCATCTTCTTTTTGTTTTCATATTTTAATTTATATTTAATTGTGTTGTGGTTTGCAGTGTTTTGTGTTGTTTCACTTTAAATTTGTTTAAAAGGAAAAAGCTGAAAATTTAAATAGTTAAAAGTTGAAATGTGAATAGTTGATTTTTGTATTATATGATTTATTTATTACATTTTATGTGGAGTGAATAAATAAAAGTATATTTACGGTGGCCCCTAGAGACAAAGCACATACAAACTTCAAATCACGTACGAACTCTGAAGCATGTACAAACTCCAAAACACGTAAAAACACGTACAAACTCCAAAACACGTACACACTCCAAAACACGTACAAACTCCGAAGCACGTAAAAACTCAGAAGCACATAAAAACTCAAAACACGTACAAAAGACAACAGAAGTGCTCCAGGATGCCGGGCGCAGTGTTGAGCCTTTGTTATCTTGTGGCTACACAAGCCAGCAAGTACCAACGACCGGATTTGGTGTGTGGTAATAACAGGTAAATGAACTTTTTTTTTAAATTATTTGAATATATATGAGTGCTTGTGTATAAATACACAAACAATACACATATGCTTTCAATTGTGTAATTTAAGTGATCTAGGTAGCTCTGTTTTGGAAGTTCAGTTCATGCTAGAAATGTGTTTTGGAGTTTGTACGTGTTTTGTCTCTAGGGGCCACCGCATATATTTATATATAAACATATATAAATAAAACCACTTTTTTTACATTAGTAATTCCTTTTGTGCATAATTTTATATTATTGTTAATAATAAATTAATTAAAGCAACAAAACAACCTGAAGAGCCGGTTCGGAGCCAAAAGAGCCGGATCTCTAAAAAGAGCCGGAAATCCCATCACTAATAATAACAGTGTGCAATACACATACACTTATTCTTCTTTTTTATACTAAGTTAATATACTGTGTTGTGTTGTTTGTTACGTTGTGATGTGTCATATCGTGTCGTGTTGTGTTATATGTAGTGCCGACGTAGGACAGTTTTTCCAATTTCATTGTACTACTGTACTATGTATGACTGTGCAATGACAATAAAGAGTTATCTTATCTTATCTTACCTGTATGGAATACCGTAACTGTCAAACTGAAAGACCACAGTATTGATTCAAATTATAAATTATATAAAAGCTGCTTCTGTATTTATTATCTAATTGTCTACTTATTTATTTATAAAATATTAATAAAATTCTCCATTTTTTTATTTACTTTTAAAAGTGTTCATTATGGATAGGCTTCAAGGTTTATTGATTCCATTGTTATTGACTTCAAATATATCTTAAATCAATTATTACAGTTTGGTAATGAAAAACATAAACACCCACCATGGTGGATAAGTTATTGCAGTGTGAACTTAATTTAATTGTTTGGTAAACACTAGTTTAGTGCTCCTGCAGCAATTGCAGTAGTCGTTCTCTTTGGATGGTGGGTCAGACATTTAATGAAATAATTTCCCCAATTTAATCTTATTTTCACAGCATTTAGTAACATTGTTTATTTAGTGATTAATTTATTTCAGTCTTATTTTAGGTTTAGGTCTTCCGTACTTTATGTGGGCTCTGCCACATAAAAACCTGACAAAAACCTGAAAGTCATATATAAAGTATACTGTATATTTAAATAGGTATAGCATACTGGCATACTGTTCAGCACCCTTGCAATTCCAAAGTCTCCAAGCTGAACTGTTCCATCTTTTGTCAAAAAGATGTTCTACACAAGCATTATGAGAACACATGTAAATAATCCAATACATGCAAACAAACAACTTATCACTTAAAGGGAATCTGTTAGGGTGAGGCTGTGTGCAGACAGGAATAGGACCCAAGGTGCAGACTCCGGAGACAGTCGTGAACTCAAAAAGGCTTTAATTTGGTACTCAAAATATAACATAACTGAAAAAACTCAAAACAAACTTAAACTGGAGGAATGACAGAACACACAGCTAGGAAAACAGTAGATCGCGACACGGACACAGAGAAACACAGGGCTTAAATACACAGAGGGAGCAATCAGGGAATGGGTAACAGGAGGGAAACACAGCTGGGGCAAATCAGAACTGACGAGACAAGAAGCGTAAACTGAACACACTGAGATAAGACAGAGACCTTCAAAGTAAAACAGGAAACACATAACACAGACTGAACAAAAGACACAGACTCACATGCACTGCAACAGAGGGAACAGAGACGTGGGACCAGGGCAGACACAGACACTGACTGGACACGGGGATATAGCAACTAAGGATACACAGAGACGCGAACTAGACAAGGGGATACAGCTGACAGGGGAGACAGAGCAACTAGAGAAGACAGAGACATAAACCATAAGACAGAACTCAAAGAAACCAAAGACTAGAAAGTATAAATAATATAATAAACTCAAAAACCCTGGGTCAACGACCCAGGCATCCTAACAGAATCTTGTGATTTATGAAACAATACCTGTGATTTTATGTCTCTGTGGAGAATTTTTCGATCGTGTACATGCTTGAGCGCTAGGCAGATCTGCACAAACCAATCTAGGATCTCAAAAAAGGAGACTACAGTAAACCATATGTATTGTGATCAGTTTGACCAAATATCTGTATACTGTTTGCACAGTGACTGCCTTGAGTAGTTGCTGGCTTACTTGCGCTTCTGAGAACAGTACCCCTTTCTGAGAGTTGATCTTTTTGAATAGGTCTCCACCCTCGCAGTAGTCCATCACAATATACAGGCAGCCACCCTCTGGGAGAAAAATACAAATAAAATAAAAAAAACTTATAGTATGTAGTTATCACACAGTGCACATTTGATAATAGTTTCTTCACATAAACAGATGAGCTATTTGAATGCCATTAATACCTTCAAAAGATTCCTTATACTGGACGATGTTTGGATGACTCATGTTAGCAAGAACAGCAACTTCCTTTTTTTTTTAATTCATATTTTGGATGGACAGAAACATTAACAAATATACAACTGGAATAATCATACTGTCAGTTCTCTGTCCGTTTCTTAACAACAACCAACAAATAAGGACAAACAAACAAACAAACAAACAAACAAAAAAAAAGCCCAGGAGAAACAAAATGATATACCGCCTCCTGGGAAACATCAGCAAAAACAAAAGCAATGGGGGCAAAACACCCGGGTGCCTAAAAACAAAACATAACCTTGACCACTGATGACATTAAGACAATTTCTTCCCTCTACTGACTTTCAAAGTAAAAAAAAAAGACAACAACAAAGATACCAATGACACATGAACCCCCCAAAAGAACATTTATCATAATATCTAGGAGACATTGTCGATGTACAACAAAAAAGGACCCCAGACCTGCTCAAAAATATCTTCTCTCCCCTTAATTCTGTACATAACCCGTTCATATGATGCCATCTTAGACATTTGTTCAGTCCATTCCCTGAGAGAACAGGGGCTGGATGACTTTATCCTGCATCCAGTTATGAAAGCCAGACGCATCCACAATCTCTGTTTTTTTGAAAGGATATTATTGTCAGGTAACAGGCCCAGGACACATACAGCTGGAGATTTAGAAAGATTGAGTTTAAAAATATCATTCACCAAGTTAATGATCCCATCCCACAAATAATCATTTTTCCGACATGTGTACAACATATGACCTAGAGTCCCGGCTTCCTCCTGACATTTCCAACAGGTGTCATTATCCACAAGCTTCAGCCTGACTAATTTACTGGGAGTCCAGTAATTTCTGTGAAGCAACTTGTACTGGATAAGTTGAGACTGTGTTTCAGGTGAGCAAACATACCATGATGAAACCAGCGTCTTCCAACTGTCCTCTAAAATCTGGATACCCAGATCCTTCTCCCAACACTGCCTCAGTCCCCCCAAACTGGGAGAGTGCGCCTCTCTGAAGATCCCATAGAATTTGATCCCATAGATTCTCCTTGATGACATACTGGTGTCCATGATCTTTGGATTTGACCAGGATAGCCTTTCCAAATGAACCTTCCCCAATTTTCTTCACCTTTTCGTACTTGTCCATGTTATTGGAATGACTGGCTCCACACGCTGGATCTACAAAGACATCAAGAACATGCTAATGCTATTGCTCGGTGTAACTAGGCTTTAATCGAGGGTTCTGTGACAGAAGCTTTATAAAAGGCAAACATTTGGTAATTGTGCGTCGTCCTGGAAATGTAATGTTAGCTCCATTGTGGACCGCTGTCAGACAGAAAGAGACGGACTGTGATGCTGAGATGCAAGACACAACACAGCTGGTAGCAAAACAGCTAGCGTTCCCGTTACTTAGAAGCTAGAAGAAGATGGGAGCTTCATAAAATATTTACCTTGTGAATGTACAAAACTCTAACTGATATAATATCACCGGCTCACTGTGTAGCCGTATACGTTTCTGTGTGCCTTACCATTAGTCTTTTCTCGCTGCCTTTCTCGTAGAGGTTTGGGTACTTGATACTGTCCTCGCACTCTCTATCTAACTACGGCTACATTTTTTGTACGTTTTCATTGGTCAGATGTACCAAGACCGAACATTAATTGGTGGACACGACTGTCCATCATCTTTTATTGTGGATGACGCTTACCAGTCTCCGCCCCCAATGACACCGTTGCTGTGGACATTTTCCATAGCAACCGCAAACCAACTGAGAAGCATGGAGAACGTGTAACGTTTGGCGATTAATTTAGTTAAAATGTATTTATTTTTTAGTTACTTCATCTAGTATTTTCATATTATGTATCTAAACCACAGAGCTTCGCTAAATTTAGTAACACACTATCCTCCTAATACCTAACTCTGCCATGGAGGAGCTGCGCAAGACAATAAGCAACCAGCAGAACTCCCATCCAAACGCAGTGCACATTATAGCTGGGGACTTCAACCATGCTGATTTAAGGTCAGTATTCCCCAGATTTGAACAGCATATTAAATGTGCAACGAGGGGGAAAAACACATTGGATAAAGCCTACAGCAACATCCAAAAAGGCTACAGAGCAACCCCTCTACCACATCTAGGTTTGTCAGACCACATGTCCATGCTGTTGATCCCTGCATACACTCCCATTAGGAGAAGAGCCCCTGTGAAAACCTGGCCAGAAGGTGCATCACATCAGCTGCAGGACTGTTTTGAAAACACGGACTGGAGCGTGTTCGAACATCAGGACCTTGAAGAGCACACAACATCAGTGCTCTCATATATTAACTTCTGTGTCAACAGTGTCACTGTGGACAAACGTCTCCGGGTGTATTCCAACCAGAAACCCTGGATGACTAAAGAGGTCCAGGTCCTGCTGAAGCAACGTGACGCCGCTTTTAGATCCGGTGATGGTATGCAGTACAGTGCAGCCAGATCTGAGTTGAAAAGAGGCATCAGAGAGGCCAAGGCAGCGTACAAGAGAAGGATCGAAGACCACTTCACCACCAACAACTCACGACAGGTATGGCAGGGAGTTCAGCACTTAACCAACTACAAACCTGGCAATACCACGTTGACTGAGGGTAACGCGGAGCTTGCAGAGGAGCTGAACCACTTCTTCGCACGCTTTGAGGTGAAGGGACCAGAGGCAGCAGCAGCAAAAACATCGGACAGCAGCAGCCCAAGCCTCATAGTGCAGGAATATGAGGTGAGGCGCACACTGAGGGCAGTGAACCCCAGGAAGGCCACCGGACCAGATGGGGTAACCGCAAAGGTCCTAAAAGAGTGTGCAGACCAGCTGGCTGGGGTCTTCACTAAGATCTTCAACATACAGAGCTAACAGATCAACTGAAGATGCCATTGCTACAACGCTCCACACCACCATCTCTCACCTGGAAGTGCAGGGCCGTTACGCCAGGCTGCTCTTTGTTGACTTTAGCTCTGCTTTCAATACGATACTCCCGGACAGACTAATAGATAAACTGCTGGAAATTGGACTTCCTTCCACCACCTGCCGCTGGATCAGAGACTTCCTCTCAGACCGTGTACAGAGAGTTAGAGTGGGGCCTCATCTTTCCTCAGCCCTCAGCCTCAACACCGGCTCTCCACAAGGCTGTGTACTGAGTCCCCTACTGTACACTCTGTACACACATGACTGTGTTAGTTCCCACCCAGACAACACAGTCATCAAGTTTGCAGATGATACCACCGTGGTGGGGCTCATCTCAGGGGGAGATGAGACTGCATACAGAGCTGAAGTTCAGAGGCTGTCAGATTGGTGTGCAGATAACAACCTGGACCTCAATACCACCAAAACAAAAGAACTGGTAGTTGACTTCAGAAGGAGGAAGTCCGAGCTGCAGCCTGTCAGCATCAACGGGGAGTTTCTGGGTGTGCACATAGACACAGACCTCCAATGGAGCTCTAACACCTCTGTGGTCTTAAAGAAGGCCCAACAGCGTCTCCACTTTCTGAGAATCCTCAGAAAAATGGACCTGAAGAAGGAGCTGCTGACCGTCTTCTACCGCTGCTCCATTGAAAGTGTGCTGACGTACTGCATCGGTGTGTGGTTCTACAGCTGCACCACAGCACACAGAAAGGCACTCCGGAGGGTCATCAACATGGCCCAAAAAATCATTGGACATCCTCTTCCCTCCCTGAAGGACCTGTACAGCACTCGCTGTCTCAAGAGGGCACGCAGCATCCTACGGGACTGCACACACCCAGGACACCGGGTGTTTAAGCTGCTGCCGTCTGGCAGGAGGTTCAGGCTGCTGAGGTCCCGAACAAATAGACTCAAGGACAGCTTTTACAACAGGGCAATAGCCCTGATCAATGTAAATAGCTGACCTGACTGGATACCTCCCTGGACTTTTTAGGGGGAGGTAACAATGTTTAAAACGATAACAATAATATTTATATTTATAACAAGGTGCAATAATAATTAATGTTCAATAATAACTAGTGATGGGTCGTTCGCGAACGAAATGGATCTTAGAGCCGGCACTTTGACGTGAACGACGCGAGCCGACTCCTTATCGCGAGCCGTCACGTGGGTTTTTTTTTTTTCTTTCTCTCAGCCTCTCTCTCGCACTTTTTTTCCGCTTCACTCTGCACGCGAGCCTTGTGCTTTACGCTGGGCAGAGGGGGGAGGGGCGGTAGTTACACTCAGTAGCACAGGAACAGAGCCAGAGAGAGAGAAAGAGAGGCAGGGACAACAACATTAGAAAGGTATAGTAATCATCCACAACTATTTTCGGTTGCAGATGATAAAGGATTGAGAAAGTTTATTCATGCAGGTCCATATGACAGAGAATATGCATCTTTTGTTTTCATATTATAATTTATATTTAATTGTGTTGTGTGTAACGGAGTTAAAAATACATATGAAAAACATGCACTTACCTGTTCTTAATTATCATTTTAAGTGTGAATTTTATCATTTTTTTATTGTATTTTATTTTGAAAACCCAGAAACCGGATCTCACTCTAACGTTTAGAAGCTGCTAAGGCTTCCGCTCCTCACAGCGCGCGTTTGCACTGTGAGGGTAAGTCCTGTAATGAAAGGCTCTGGCATTTTTATGGTTTCTGGTGTGAATGTTGTTACATAAGTTGTACATGTCGATGTATATAGGTTCATATTGATGTTAGAAAGTTTCTGTGTAACTGAAACAAAGGCGGGTTGCTGTTAAATAGTGTTTCTGCCGTATTTATGCTCTTTGGCAGTTAGTCTTTGTCAGCCCCCTAGTGGTTGCTGCGCATAGCAGGAAATGTGTTTGGATGTACCGTTTTTCTGTGCTTTTTGTGATGTTGTTTTACATTGTAGGAGCTACAATTGCTGTACCATCAGAAGACACCTGTTGAGTGTGTTTTATGTCTTCTGCAGGTACGTGAGCTTGTTAACAGCCATTTTGTCTGTAAAGCACAAGCAAGTGAAGATGTAATGCGCTATTGTTAATTTGACCACTAGAGGGAAATGTTTAGTTGGTGATACTTATGTTATCCTGTTATTCTGTTTTATACGATTGTGAAATGTATTTTATTAGTCATAAGATTTCTTTTGTATACAAGCTCAGTATGACAGAGTGTAAAATGAGAGAAATTATTATTTTCCACCTTTTCTTTATTAAAAGGTTAATTGTAAGTCTGTTAACACAGCGCGCGTTTGCACTGTGAGGGAGCTACAATTGCTGTACCATCAGAAGACACCTGTTGAGTGTGTTTTATGTCTTCTGCAGGAATAAATCGTGAAAAGCCAATCTTTCTGAGCGTCTGTGATTTTTGAAGAGCTGGAAGTGTTACAGTGGTTTGCAGTGTTTTGTTGTTTCACTTTAAATTTGTAAAAGGAAAAAGCTGAAAATTTAAATAGTTAAAAGTTGAAATGTGAATAGTTGATTTTTGTATTATATGATTTATTTATTACATTTTATGTGGAGTGAATAAATAAAAGTATATTTACGGTGGCCCCTAGAGACAAAGCACATACAAACTTCAAATCACGTACGAACTCTGAAGCATGTACAAACTCCAAAACACGTAAAAACATGAGAAGCACATAAAAACTCAAAACACGTACAAAAGACAACAGAAGTGCTCCAGGATGCTAGGTGCAGTGTTGAGCTTTTGTTATCTTGTGGCTACACAAGCCAGCAAGTACCAACGACCGGATTTGGTGTGTGGTAGTAACAGGTAAATGAACTTTTTTTAAATTATTTGAATATATATGAGTGCCTGTGTATAAATACACAAACAATACACACATGCTTTCAATTGTGTAATTTAAGTGATCTAGTAGCTCTGCTTTGGAAGTTCAGTTCATGCTAGAAATGTGTTTTGGAGTTTGTACGTGTTTTGTCTCTAGGGGCCACCGCATATATTTATATATAAACATATATAAATAAAACCACTTTTTTTTACGTTAGTAATTCCTTTTGTGCATAATTTTATATTATTGTTACTAGGGCTGCCACAAACGATTATTTTGATAGTCGACTAGTCACCGATTATTTTTGCGATTAGTCGACTAATCAGATCATCATCCATTGGACGTAAAACGTACAGCTTATTGCACCAGCAGCATCTGCTCTTATATAACTATCATTAGCTTACAGCTTTAAGTGTTTCAGGTCTGTGCTAACTAAAAATAAAGACAAGATGAAGTTTAATAAACTCCTTGCTATCTAAAATATAACAGGACACCGGAGTAAATTCTCGAGCATCTCACACTTCTGATAATCAGCTGTCTGCTTGACGTTTATTCAGCTGTGTAAAAACTATAACTTTAATCTCAGCCAAACCGATTTACTCAGGAACAAATAAAATACTGAAAAAAGCCAAACAATAACATTTTTAAGTTATCTAAGTGACTCATATGTTTAACCTGAGTAGCGAAAGACGGCGGTGGGTTTGAAAACGATTTGCCGGGAGTCCGGTGTTCTCACCGCGCTAGTGACCTAGCCCCCGGCTAGCTATCGAGCTAGTGGGTAACAGACGTCTCCGAAAACGTCGGAGCGCTTTTGAAAATATGTGGTGTCCTGATAAACTGAGCAGATATTTGAGGTTTACACAGCTACATTCTCGCCTGAAAATATGTTAAACGTTTATTTTGTGACCCAGAAAGAATAATAAGAGTAATATTAAAACTAACTAGCTGCCGCCATTGTTGGAAACTGAGCTGGGCTGCGCTATGAATTCTGGGACACAGCTCTTCTTCTTCTTCGGGGTTTAACGGCAGCTGGCATCCTTGTACATGCAGTGCTGCCATCTTCTGTTTCAGTCCGTTATTACACTCTTAAATCCTACTACTTATTCCTGCGTCTTTTGTGATCTTACAAAGCTTCAAACGATGCGTCGACTATTAAATCAGTCGTCGACGATTTTGATAGTCGACGTAATCGTGACTAGTCGACTAATCGTGGCAGCCCTAATTGTTAATAATAAATTAATTAAAGCAACAAAACAACCTGAAGAGCCGGTTCGGAGCCGAAAGAGCCGGCTCTTTTTAGTGAGCCGAACCGAAAGAGCCGGATCTCTAAAAAGAGCCGGAAATCCTATCACTAATAATAACAGTGTGCAATACACATACACTTATTCTTCTTTTTTATACTAAGTTAATATACTGTGTTGTGTTGTTTGTTGCGTTGTGATGTGTCATATCGTGTCGTGTTGTGTTATATGTAGTGCCGACGTAGGACAGTTTTCCAATTTCATTGTACTACTGTACTATGTATGACTGTGCAATGACAATAAAGAGTTATCTTATCTTATCTTATCTTATGTATGGAATACCGTAACTGTCAAACTGAAAGACCACAGTATTGATTCAAATTATAAATTATATAAAAGCTGCTTCTGTATTTATTATCTAATTGTCTACTTATTTATTTATAAAATATTAATAAAATTCTCCATTTTTTTATTTACTTTTAAAAGTGTTCATTATGGATAGGCTTCAAGGTTTATTGATTCCATTGTTATTGACTTCAAATATATCTTAAATCAATTATTACAGTTTGGTAATGAAAAACATAAACACCCACCATGGTGGATAAGTTATTGCAGTGTGAACTTAATTTAATTGTTTGGTAAACACTAGTTTAGTGCTCCTGCAGCAATTGCAGTAGTCGTTCTCTTTGGATGGTGGGTCAGACATTTAATGAAATAATTTCCCCAATTTAATCTTATTTTCACAGCATTTAGTAACATTGTTTATTTAGTGATTAATTTATTTCAGTCTTATTTTAGGTTTAGGTCTTCCGTACTTTATGTGGGCTCTGCCACATAAAAACCTGACAAAAACCTGAAAGTCATATATAAAGTATACTGTATATTTAAATAGGTATAGCATACTGGCATACTGTTCAGCACCCTTGCAATTCCAAAGGTCTCCGTCTTTCAAAAAAATGTAATATCGCAAACGATTAAGCAACAAAAAATACATATCTCAGTTTAAAATTCTGTTTTATTTTATTTTATTTTATTAAATATGCTACATTTGTTACAAGTATCATTACTGCTAAAGGAGGCCAAGGAGTAACTAAACATCTGACACAATAAGCAGGAAAGTGCAGAAGGGAGAGGTGAAGTAGCCATGGTGGTAGCGAGTCGGCTACAAGCTAAGCTAGCAAAACAGTACAGACACAGTGAGTGAAAACTTTGGCTATAAATTAGGTAGTGAGTACACAGAAAGTGTGCTTCGGATGAAACACATGAAGATTATACTATGAAAAAGAATGTATTTAAAGTTTTTAATTAAATTGCTAAGCAGATAAGCTACTCAAAAACATCACTGTGTTTGAGCAGGAACTGGAAGTGATACTCTACCGCAGAGAGAGCGAACACCAAGTGACAGCGCCACCAAGAGTGACTGAGTTTCTTACCTGCCATAGAGTGTGTTTAATCTCACTTTCTTAGTCCCCTGAGTTTGTAGCATCACGTTAGTTTTTAGTTTGAGTAACTCCTGAGGTTAGATTTATTCCTCTCGCCTTTTGTTCTTGTTTAGTGTTTTTGCCTTTAACTATTTTCCCTTGTGTCACCTTCGCTTGCTGAAATAAAATCTTGCTTTTTGCTCATCCTCCGAGCTTCAGAGTGGTGTCTGCACCTGAGTCCTTTAACCTGTATTGGCCGTCGTGACATAAAACCACATACATACATAGTGTCATGGTCCTGAGCCTGCTGACTCAGGGTTTTGTGTTTCTTTATGCGTTTGTTTATTCTGAGTATGTATTCTGTTATGATTTGCCATTTGTTAGGTTTCTGTTCTGTGCCTGCCCTGATCCCACTTCTGTGTTCTGCCTGTCTATGGTGTCACACTGTCTGTTTGTGAACCTGTCTTTTTAGTTCAGTGCCTTGTCTGGTTCTCTGTGTCTGAGTTTCCTGTTTTATTCTGAAGGTCCCCGTCTCATGTGAGTGTGTTCAGTTTACGTTTCCCCTGTCCCGTCGGCTCTGATTTCTCCCAGGTGTGTTGCCCTCCTGTCTCTCATCCCCTGATTACTGCTGTGTGTATTTTAGCCCTGTGTGTTCTCCTGCTTGTTGCCGGTTTGTCTGTGTTCCACGGTGCCCTGTTCCTCATCTCTCTGCCTCTCACCCCGTTTGGTATCATTTAAGGTTTGTTGTTTAGTTTTCCCAGTTTAGGTTTCTTTAGTTTTGTCATCCCTCATTGCCTGTTTTGCCACTACGCCACTTTGTAAATAAACATCACTAGCATTATCATCTACTGCCTGCATTTTGGGTCCTTTCTCCCTCCAACATCACACGGCTCACCTCGGCAGCCGTGACAGTACGAACCGGCCACAATGGACCCAGCAGCATTCAACCCAACCGAGGAGCTTCAGGAGGGATATTATTAACTCTGTGGATAAATTAATCAACTTATGGCTGGAGCACGAGGGGAGAGAATTCCGTCAGGCCATAGCTAATCGGCTGCAGCGCTTAGTTTCTGGTCTCCCCTGGTTGCTCAGCTCACTTCATCCGCTCGCACAGAATTTTGTTCTGAACGAACTTTGTCTTCACCCCCCGGTTGCTACCACCCACCCTGCAACTCATGCTTCGCTGCCTGTCCTGATGGAGGATGCTCTGCCCAGCCTGTCAACACAGCCTTCACAAGGGAAACGGCGCTCACGCCGTCAACGCTCCTCACCACAGTCGGACCTAGGGATTTCAGAGCGGCCGGCTGTGGTGAGTGGACAGGACAATAGTATTGGTTTGAACTGTGGGACTGTTTACTCAGGGGTTATGTTCTGTACGGCAAAGGACAATGACTGCTTATCGCCTGTTCAGTCTACTGCTCAGCTACCTTCAACCCAGTTTCCAGTGTCACCTACACAGCAGCCTGTAGCTCAGTTAGCCGCCCGGCCTCAAGCTCAGTTAGCCGCCCGGCCTCAAGCTCAGTTAGCCGCCCGGCCTCAAGCTCAGTCTCCAACTCCACCACAGTTGTCATTTCAACCTTTACTTCAGTTGCCCTTAGTTCAGCCTCTATTTCAGCAGCCACTAGCCCGGTGACCTGTGTCACCTGCTCCTCCAGTACGACAAGCTAAATCAATTCTATCCGAAGGGAATTGTTTTTCATTCGTCCATTGTAAATAGAGAGACAAACCCATAAATAATGTAATCGTTCCTCAAAAGCTGGCCCGTTTAGAGACAGTAACTCTCTCCAGGGCCTCCCCAGAGTCTGAGTTTCAATCCGCAGTCGACTCTGGACCCCTGGAGGCTAAAAAGTCAGAAAGTTGTCTCTTCAAACCAGTCACTGGTGCAAAGAGAGTACCTTGCTCCAGGGCATCTCAGCATGGAGGGAAAGCTTAATGCACGAGATGGTAAGAGCTGTTGGGACTAAAAAAAAACTGAGCGGAAAGCTACAGACATCTGAAAACTGAGTTTTTAATTTTCAGTGAGATCACCAGGACTAGCAAAGCTTCACCATTGCAGGGAGTCATCGTATTCACTGAACCCATCAAAAAATCACTTCATGGACCTTGCGTCTGTGTGTGGACAGACATAACATGACCTAATTATACACTACTCCTCCACAGAGTGGACCAGGAGAGAGCAGAGGTTTCCACTGGTCAGTCTGCACAGCAGCGTCAAACACACCTGGACTCTGTGTTTATGGTATGTACTACTACTTTTACATGTGTTTTTTTTTCGGTCACCTGCACTTTGTAGACCAGTGGATTGTCATTGTGTCCAATATGAATCAGATTTTTGGTTCCATGATTTCAGTCCATTTGGGGGTGCCTGTAGCTCAGGAGGGGAGCAGGTCAGTTACTAATCAGAAGGTTGGTGGATCAAACCTTGGCTGGTAAATGTACTGGACAAGATACTAAACCCAAAGTTCTCTCTGATGCAACCATCAGAGTGTTAAAGTTGTGGCATGTTGTATAAAGTGCTCTGAATGCACAGAGTGTAGAAGAGCTGTATAAGAACCAGTGCATTTCAAGATTGTTTATTTGTCACCTGCATAGTTATAGAAGTACAACACGCAGTGAAATGTAACATGATACGCTCGACTGTGCAAAAAAACAAGAGAGAGAGAACATTATATACTGGGAGTGAATATATACAAAGATGACATTATATGCAATAAGTGAGTGAGTTATATATATATTATATAAATAAAATAAAACAATCTGGAAATTTACATTCAAATCTGAGAATGTACATTTTCTAAATGGTGTGTTAAAGTGTCTTGTGTCGTTGTGAATGGGGGGGATGGCCTGAGACTCAGGGCTCAGATGATTGCAGAAGTTGGAACAGTGTATTGCTGGGATGGGACAGGTCCTTCAGTATCTGAGCTGCTCTAGTCCAGCATCTCCTGGTGTAAATGTTCTGTAGGGAGGGGAGGCCAGCCCTGCAGCAGCGTTCTGCTGTACGGATCACTTTCTGAATAGCTTTTTGGTCCTTAACATAGCTGTTCCCATACCAGGATGCAATGTTCTGTGTGAGGATGTTCTCCATAGTGCCTGTATAGAAAGACCGCTCGGTAACTCATATGGTCTTCTTTTCCAGCGGCTGGAGGACAACATTATGATGTTTGTGAAGAAAGAGCTGAAGAAAACCAAAAAGGTTCTGAGTCCAGATGACCCAGAAACCATAAAAAGCCAGAGGGAGGATAAGGAGATGTTTGAAGGTGAGGATGAAGATCAAAGAAAGAGCTGCAGAGAAGCATTTCTGAAGATCACATTACACTTCTTGAGGAGACTTAAGCAGCATGAGATGGCTGACCATCTGCAGAGCAGTAAGAGAATTTCTCTAAAGATTGCATATTGATCTTTCCTAATATCTCAAGAAATGGACCAATATCTATTCACTCATTTATCCTTTCGGGGTACTGAAAGGCTATGATATTTATTATATAATAATTAATTTATCTGAATTACTTATTTTCAGAAATATTTGCTCCACTCTATAAACGTGAACTTAAAGCCCAACTGAAGAAGAAGTTCCAGTGTGTGTTTGAGGGAATTGCTAAAGCAGGAAACCCAACTCTTCTGAATCAGATCTACACAGAACTCTACATCACAGAGGGAGGGACTGCAGAGGTCAATGATGAACATGAGATCAGACAGATTGAAACAGCATCCAGGAAATCAAAGGGACCAGAAACAACAATCAGACAAGAAGATATCTTTAAATCTTCACCTGGAAGAGATGAACCAATCAGAACAGTGCTGACAAAGGGAGTGGCTGGCATTGGGAAAACAGTCTTAACACAGAAGTTCACTCTGGACTGGGCTGAAGACAAAGCCAACCAGGAAATCCAGTTCATATTTCCATTCACTTTCAGAGAGCTGAATGTGCTAAAAGAGGAAAAGTTCAGCTTGGTGGAACTTGTTCATCACTTCTTTACTAAAACTAAAGAATCAGGAATCTGCAGGCTGGAAGACTTCCAGGTTGTGTTCATTCTTGATGGTCTGGATGAGTGCCGACTTAGTTTGGACTTCAACAAAACTAAAATCCTGACTGAAACAAGAAAGTCCACCTCATTGGATGTACTGTTGACAAACCTCATCAAGGGGAACCTGCTCCCATCTGCTCACCTCTGGATAACCACACGTCCTGCATCAGCCAGTCAGATCCCTCCTGAGTGTGTGGACCTGGTGACAGAGGTCAGGGGCTTTACTGACCCACAGAAGGAGGAGTACTTCAGGAAGAGATTCAGAGATGAGGAGCAGACCAGCAGGATCATCTCCCACATCAAGACATCACGAAGCCTCCACATCATGTGCCACATCCCAGTCTTCTGCTGGATCACTGCTACAGTTCTGGAGGATGTGCTGAAAACCACAGAGGGAGGACAACTGCCCAAGAACCTGACTGAGATGTACATTCACTTCCTGGTGGTTCAGGCCAAAGTCAAGAGGATCAAATATGATGGAGGAACTGAGACAGATCCACACTGGAGTCCAGACAACAGGAAGATGGTTGAGTCTCTGGGAAAACTGGCTTTTGATCAGCTGCAGAAAGGAAACCTGATCTTCTATGAATCAGACCTGACAGAGTGTGGCATCGATATCAGAACAGCCTCAGTGTACTCAGGAGTGTTCACACAGATCTTTAAAGAGGAGAGAGGACTGTACCAGGACAAGGTGTTCTGCTTCATCCATCTGAGTGTTCAGGAGTTTCTGGCTGCTCTTCATGTCCATCTGACCTTCATCAACTCCGGAGTCAATCAGCTGGAAGAACAACAAACAAGCTCTCAGACAGAGAACGACTTCTATCAGAGTTCTGTGGACAAGGCCTTACAGAGCCCAAATGGACACCTGGACTTGTTCCTTCGTTTTCTCTTGGGTCTGAAAACTAATAAAATTTGTTTGCAAGGCCTGGTGACACAGACAGGAAGTAGCTTACAGACCAATCGGGAAACAGTTCAGTACATCAAGAACAAGCTCAGTGAGAATCTGTCTGTAGAGAAAAACATCAACCTGTTCCAGTGTCTAAATGAACTGAATGATCGTTCTCTAGTGGAGGAGATCCAACAGTCCCTGAGTTCAGGAAATCTCTCCACTGATAAACTGTCTCCTGCTCAGTGGTCAGCTCTAGTCTTCATCTTACTGTCATCAGAAAAAGATCTGGATGTGTTTGACCTGAAGAAATACTCAGCTTCAGAGGAAGCTCTTCTGAGGCTGCTGCCAGTTGTCAAAGCCTCTAAAAAAGCTCTGTAAGTCATGATGTTTTTATAATTTAAATTCAGTTTACAAACAGAAAACTCTTGCTATTCCATTCTTCTTATTATACATATATCTTTTTAGGCTGAATAGCTGTAACCTGTCAGAGAGAGCATGTGGAGCTCTGTCCTCTTCTCTTCAACTAGAAGACTGTGAGCTCAGAGATCTAGACCTGAGTAACAACAACGTGCAAGACTCAGGTTTGACACTACTGTTTTCTCGACTGAAGACTACAAACTGGAAGCTGGAAACGCTCAGGTCAGATTATGTTGTTTATGATTTGACTTGAAATCTGCAACATAAAAGCTACATTTAGTTTTTGTACTGACATATCCTTACTCTTGGTATGATATTACGGTAAATACCATGATGGTGGTGTGCTAGGTCGCAGCGGCCACACCGTGTCGAAATCATGGTGCAATTTTCGTGTTTTTACTCAAGTTCTACTTGAGTCCTGGTTCATTATATAGCTGTAATGTACGTCGGAACTACAGTCAAACACTTCTATAACCACCAACAACTTTTGGATTTAGGAAAACACCATTAAACTCAACCAGATGGAGACACAGTGGAGAAATTGCGCTGCTGCAGCATTCTGCAAGCTCTGAACAGATGGGCTACGGCACCACCACATCTTAGCGTCCGCCTGGAAGTCCATCGAAAACGGTGTCGGCGAGGAAGTGGAAGTGCAGTAAGCGAGCCGGTATCCATGCCGGTATACCGCGCTTCCATCACTGCTCTCCAACATGTGCTCCATAGAAAACAAACTGGACTGTTTGAGACTACAAATAAACTCCAGGAAAGAAACAAGGCACTGCTTTGTTCTTATTTTTACTGAAACATGGCTACACGGAGGCATCGTAGACCACGCTATCCAGCTAAATGGCTAGATAGCTACCGTGCCGACAGAGACCCCCTATCATCGGCAAGACACATGGCGGTGGACTGTGTGTTTACATCAATAACAGCTGGAGTAGGAATGCTCCAATTGTGTCTGTGCAATTTTTAGAACTTGTGGAGGCCTTAGCAGTCAGATGCAGGCCGTTTTATATCCCAAGAGAGTTTACTGTGGTGATCATTGTTGCTGTTTACATCCCACCTAGTACTAGCAGTAATGCTAAAGCTAGTGGAGCACGCAGTGAACTCTACAAGATTATCAGTGATCTGCAAACAGCCCACCCTGACAGCTTCCTCATTGTCGCTGGGGATTTTAATAATGCCAAACTTAAATCAGTTCTACCCAAATTTCATCGGAACATTGACTTTGCAACAAGAGGGGACAGCATGTTATACCTTGTTTACACAAACATCCAGCATGCATACAAGGCTTCATGCAACAGGCCCAGGTTCTTGGAGACACTGAAGAGCCCAATAAGAGATTAATGTTTCAGTGTGTCACAGATCAAACTCTACATTTCCATCAGCATAAAAGAGATTCAGCAGCAGATCAGAATCAAGTAGAGCAACATTTATACATTTTCTAAATTCCCAAATTCATACATGCACATTCCTTTAACAATGCGACACAAAGATTGCACTTCAGTGGATTTTAGTACAGTGGGCAGTGCATTCCCCTTGCACACACTTATAAGACACAAATTTTCTTTTCTTTTTTTTTTACCTGTTTAGTTATATATATATATATATATATATTTAATTATTTATATAATGGAAACATGGACATAATATGTAGACTCTCAGCTTTTATTTGAGGGTACTCATATTCAAATTGGATGAAGGATTTAGGAGTTTCAGCTACTTTAAAGGGACTAAAAGACTCAAAAGCTATTTCATGGGAAGGTGTGAGCAATTCCTCCTTTATGTCATTATCAATTAAGCAGATAAAAGGCCTGGAGTTGATTTGAGGTGTGGTGCTTGCATTTGGAAGATTTTGCTGTGAACAGACAACATATGGTCAAAGGAGCTCTCCATGAAACAAGCCATCCTTAAGCCTATCTGAGAAATTGCTACAATATTAGGACGTCCAGGGAAGACAATAGTGCTGGATGACTGCAGAATGATTTCCATGTTGAAGAGAAACCCCTTTACAACATCCAACAATGTAAACAAACACTCTCCACGAGGTAAGCGTATTGATATTCAAGGCTACCATAAACAAATGACTGCATTTACTGCAAGGTGCAAGCCACTCATAAGCCTCAAGAATAGAAAGGCTAGATTGGACTCTAAAAAAGCCAGCACAAAAAAATGTTTTTTGGACAGATGAAACCAAGAACACCATCTACCAGAATGATGGCTAGAAAAAAAAGTATGATGATGTGACACAGGACAGAAGCAGCTGAATAAATTCTGATGTGTTCAGAGATGTATTGTTTGCTCACATAAATGCAGTCAAACTGATTGGGTGGTGTTTCATAATACAGTTGGACAATGACCCAAAACAGCCAAAGTAACCCAGGAGTTTATCAAAGCAAAGAAGTGGTAGTATCTTGAAAGGCCAAGTCAGTCACCTGATCTTAACCCAAATGAGCATGGATTTCACTTGTTGAAGACTAAACTACAGACAGAAAGGCCAACAAATGTCTCTTTCTGGACAACTTCTCTTAACTTTAACTTAAGGATGTTCCAGCTGTCTAACGGATTTGCTTCTCCATAGTGTTCAGATGTCTGTCTGTGTTAACGGGAACGTGGAGCTCAGTGATGGTGTAGCTAACTTCTGTGTGGCTCTTATGGGGTTGTTTGTTTGGTTTTTTTTGGGGGGGGGGGGATCTCTCTTTTTGTTTTCTGTTTTTGTTCTTTTTTCTCATTGCTTGTTTGGTAAATAATAAGAGAGGAAAACAATGTTCCAACATGAGAAATTCTGTTTTGTATTCATTGTAAACAGTTTGTGTTTTTCGTCTTCTTTTTTTCTTTATAAACTATATCCACAAATACTCAATAAAAATGTTTTGAATTAAAAAAAAGAAAGGCCAACAAACAAACGGCAAATGAAAGTCCCTGCAGTAAAGTCACTGGGCATTAAAAAGGAGAGAACCCAGCATCTGGTGATATCTATGAGTTCAAGACTTCAAGACTGTCATTGCCAGCAAAGGGGTTTCAAGCATTAGAAATTAACATTTTGTTTTCAGTTATTTAATTTATAGGGATTGTTTTACAAAAGATCCTTTCCTCCCTTCCAGAACTGAGTTCTAATGGTGGAATGACAAGGCATATAAAATTTAATAACACAAGTAATTCAATGTAATTGTCCTCTTTAAAAAAAAGTCGTAATCTTAAGAATATTGAAATGTGTGCAATTTCGTTCAAAGAAAAGCTTATTCACATGTTTTGAAGTGTTTCATCAATGCACTGCAGGAAAAAAAAGCAACTTCACACAAATAACAAAATTTAACAAAATGATTCATTCTTCTGTTATTCCTGCATTTGGCGGTTGAACTTAAGAAAAGTTGTAATATACAGGTCTGTCCATATAAATGTACTATTTTGTTTCTCCATGAACACTGAAGCTGTTATCACTTGTTAGATACCACACAGAAATCCAAAAGCTAGTGAAAACAGTAGTATTTTTTTTTGGCACACAAAGTCGAAGAAATGTCTGAAACGAATGACCTCCTCTAACAAATTTCTGTCATGTTGGATCAATGTTCTTAAATTACTCATATTACAGTTCTCAAATTTGAAGAAACCCTTGTTCTTTTATTTATATGACTCCCTACAGGTAAACTATTTGATCTAGATCTAGTTAGTTTGGTACTACGTAGGCACACAAATTTGAATAAATTTTACTCAGTTTTAAATACATCAATCTTTACTGATGCCATTGCCTCTAGGATTCATAATAATTTATTAAAATGTTGAATGTCAGTTTGTTTGTTGTTTTTTATAGTTCCTTTTTAGGACTTTTGTGGAATGTCTGAGTAGGGTTTTCTTTTTGAGTGAGTTGTTTTAATACAAACAAATGTCACTGGTATACCAAACCATTTATTATATATTTTGAAGCAGTTGTGCATCACATGAGAAAAATGTGTAGGTGACTATGTTTTTCTTTCTTTGTTTGTGACTGTAATTTAATATTTGAGTATAAAACCCCACCCACAAAAAAAAGTGGGTGGGGGAACACCTTCACCTTCAGAACCATTCAATTTTAGTTTCAGAATATATTTTAAAAGCCATGTACCTTTGCTTTCTGAACGAAGACCACCAACTTTCAATCCGTTGATTTGTAGTTGAGGTACCATACATATGACTGTGGGCTCCTGCAAGTTCATCTCCATGGTCTGATCTTAAAGCACAGTGAATGGCTGCCATTGTGCCATTTTCTGTGCCACAGTCTGTACGAAGGCATGCTGGAAGTTGACCAAACCGTGACAAGCACTCCATATAATATTTTGCAATGATACCTGGGTCATTATTTGAGCTGCCACAGCTGAGCCACATAACTTTCCTTGAAAATCCATCGACACATGCACTAATAGAAACACCAAAGGGCTTCAACTTATCATAACCATCCACATGCCACACTTGATTTGGTCCTTCTGAAAAATATCCTCTTCGAACAAACCTGCGTTTACAGCGACGCTTAACACCATATGGATCTAGTCTTGAGAGTATGTGCATTACATCATTTCTTTTAACTTTCAGATTATACTTTTGTCGCAGTGACTGACACATGGATCTGTAACCCAGAAGCTGACCTGAGCCTCTCAGTTCTTGTGTAACAGTGAAAATGACAATGTCAGTGGGAGTAAAGTCTGTCCTTCTAGTCATTCCAGCATCTTTTAGCCTCCTCTTTAATGTTCTCAGACTCATACAAATATTATGCTTGTTTTCAAGAAAATCCAGGATCACTTCATATGTATGGCCCTCAGAGAAATACTTATTGATGATGTCTGTGACTGAGACTGGGCCTAAGGTTGAAGAGAAAACATGAAAAGATAATTACGACCGCAGGAATCCACAAATGCACTTAATAAGTGTTTTTTTTAAAAAAAATACCACATCTGAAACAAGTCTCAATAAACATGACTCAAGTATTTAATCTTCTTGATGTGTGCTTAAATAAAGGCCAGCAAAAGCTCAAAGAACATGGACCAGGATTCAGGACTTATCACTCTCATTAAGACCTCTATGCTGACAACTCAAAATGAGCAAAATTAGAGAAGTTAGAAGAATTTCGTCACTGTGTACATATGCCCTATTAAGTCATAAACTAGTTTTTAAAATTATGCCGTAGAACCGGTGGCAGACTTAAACCAGAATACAGTTCTTAGTACCTACCAGTTCATGCCTTTTCGTTTTTGGAATTCTGATTTATCTTTGCATACAGAGTCTTTAACAATACAAAAACCTTAGAATAAGCAAATGAATATAGTACTTTGGAATGGCACATCAATAATAATCCCCCCCCAAAAAAAGTTTAACACGCACTACTGAAGCTACTGTGGTGTATATAAGTCATTATGAAGCAATTAAAAGGTGAGCAATAAATACTAGAACTTAGGAAAGTGAAGTGCTTACCATTCTCTATAAAAGGTGCTAAAACTTGAATGTTAGTTCCACAGGACCCACAAAAAACTCCAATTTGCCCCACTAGCTGGATTCCACAATATGGACAATACATTGCCTGATGAAGACAATGCCAAATTAAAACCTGAACACATTAACTGCAATATTCCTTAATGACTTTGACTTATTAGTATTTGTTCTCGAGTTTAAAAAAGCTTCATTTCTAAGGCTACATTAAACATTACCTTTGTTAGAATTATCTTTGAATATATATTCCAGATATCTGTAGTATTATTAGAATTATGAGATTACAACATATTTACCTCTCCTCCACTTCTTTGAAGTGTCTCCCAGTCCTAGCGCACTGGTTAGCATGTTTTGGTTCGTGCAACTGGTCCGTCGGGTTATTGTCTCCCCAGGAACATTTCCGTTGTCTTTTTTCCTATTTCCGTTGTGCTTTGTGTGCTTTTGCAGCGCTTTTCTTTTTGCAGCGTTTTTCTTTTTGCAGCATTTTTCATTTTGCAGTGCAGCGTTTTTCTTGAAATTGCAGTGCAGCGTCTTTCTTTTTGTAGCGTTTTTCTTTTTGCAGTGCAGCGTTTTTCTCGAAGTTGCAGTGCAGCGTCTTTCTTTTTGCAGCGTTTTCCTTTTTGCAGCATTTTTCTTTTTGCAAGTGCTTTCTGAAGTTGCAGTCCGTTTGGCCTCTCAGGGCCACCGTACATCTCCCCTATATGGCTCAACTCCTTTAATGGTCCACCATATACAAGCACAGGTGAGCCCATAAATGGAAGGAAGTAAACATGCCTTACTAAATAAGCAAACCAGAACCTTACATAGAATGTGCCTGCAATTAAACACTATAGCTATTGCCTCCCCATCATCCTACATGTAGAGGAGGGACAGAAAAATATCTGAACATGCAGTTCAGGACAAGGTTTACAATTTTAAGTACAACAATGACAACTTTTATCAAAATCACTCCAACAGGGGCCACAGTGGCAAAAGCTCTATCACCTTTAGTTCTCATCTTTTGGTCAGAAGCCAATAAAAAGTGAGTTACAGTAGTCCAAGCATAAAGAAATAAATGTATGTATAGCAATCTCCAGTTCAGAGCGAGATACAATACATCTTAATTTAGCAACATTTCTTAAATGATAAAAACAAGACCGAACCAGAGATTTGACATGACCATCCAATGTGAGAGTCGAGTCAAAAGTTACACCTAAATTCCTGATAGAGGATTTAACATAGACCAAAAGAGGACCAAGGGCTTACACTATCTGGGGTAAAAATCTGTCAGGACCGCATACAAGGACTTCAGTTTTCCCCTCATTAAGTTTGAGGAAGTTAACAGCCATCCAACGTTTGATCGAATCTAAGAAGTCATTCAGAAACTGGAGCTTAGATAAATCTTGGGGCTTAAAAAATGTATAACTGCATCTCATCAGCATAACAGTGATAGGAAATGTCCTCGGAGGGGTTCATTATACGTTGGAGGGGAAGAAGCTATATTAAAAACAATAAAGGCCCCAAAACAAAACCTTGAGGGACACCGTAAGTAAGGGAGGTAGAGGATGACCTGAAATAAGAGACCGTCACAGAAAAACATTGGTTATGTAACTATGAGGAGAACCACTCCAAGGCAGTTCCAGATATACCAACCCAATATTTTAGCCTTTCAAGCAAAATGGTGTGGTTAACTGTGTCAAAAGCCGATGTTAGGTCCAGAACAGAGCAGAACAGAACATTTTCCTGCATCATTACTCATAAAAATGTCACTAGAGACTTTAAGAAGGGCTGTTTCCGTAGAGTGAACTCTCTGAAAGCTGGACTGAAACTTGTCAAAAAGGCTGTGTTTGTCTAGAACTGCTATAAGTTGCTTAGCCACAACCTCTTCTAGAAGGTTAGCAATTAATGGTAATTGGTGACTATCTATATCTATACTGCACATAAAACATGATATAATTGCTATAATAAATGCGAATTGAGAGATAAACAGGAGAGACATTTTCATCGATGCAGAAGACAATCAATGAACTCGCTTCACAGCTGACTGTCATGAATGACTGTTTTTTTCGTTTCAAAGAGACATGAGGGGTACTCCCCAAAGTCTGGCCTGGATCAGTGTCTGTGGTTACCATACTTACTGGAAAAGCTACTGTGAATTAAACAGATGGCATAACTTACCGGCGATATGAGTCTTTACATTTTTCATTACAAAAGAAATGTACAAATTAGTTAATTTAAAGTTATCATATTTATAGTTATCAGTGTCATAGAATTCCAGTCTAACACATATGAGCATCAGATCAAATCACAGGGCTGCTGTACATCGAAGGACCAGCAGGTGTCAGTACTTCCAAATTAGCGGTTAAACAAGGCTTCGTGTGATCTGCCTTTTGGTGAAGCAATTGGCCAGAAAGATTCGACACATTCATGGGGCTTCATCACATCATCACTATTTACAGTTTATAGCAGCACCATTAACACTTGTGATTTGAAATGCATTCTGAGATACCTGGTTGTCCCAAGTCAACACTACCGCCAGTCCATAGCAATTGGTTGTCTAAGATCAAACTGTCTTCATTTACTGTGCGCGGTAAGCAATATGATGTTACACAAGCTGGAGTGGCAGTGTTAACCCCACCCCTTGACTTTGATGGGTGACAAATGAAATTAACAAAGCAGCAGGGCCAGGAGTGCTAAAATGAATTAAGTAAATACATCATTAAATAATTAATTTAATATTTCAAAAATTGATTAATTAAATATATAATTATTAATTAAATGTCTCATTGATTAATTTATTTGGAAATAAATAATTTAATAACTGTTTTAAATTAAATTAATGACATTTAATAAATTATTTAATAACATGTTTAATTAATTAAGATTATATTTTATCAAGATCATATTTTTTTTCAAAGGTGCAGACCACAAAGTTTAACATGCTGTTATTTTTCTCATTATTGTCTCTTCAGATTGAGTGTCTGTAATCTCTCAGAGAGAAGCTGTGAAACTCTGTCTTCACTTCTCAGCTCCCAGCCTTCCAGTTTGAGAGAGCTTGACCTGAGTAACAATGACCTGAAGGACTCTGGAGTGAAAGTTTTGTCTTCTGGACTAGAAAGTCTGTGTTGTAAACTGGAAACACTCAGGTCAGCATTCTTAAAATGGTCAATAGATGACTATTTCAAATCTTTAAGCAATGCAGGGCTTTCTGTTGTGATTTAAATTATCTACTGTATTATATTGTTCATCCTAATCTGTGCGATTTATCTGATCAAAAAATGAAAAACGTATAAATAAAGTGTTGGAAGTTGTCCAACATATTGAACATATTTATTTCAGATGTTTTTGTTGTCCTCACAAGGTAATATAAGATATAAAGACTTTTATAATATAGACTTAATTTGCTGTCATAATCTGGTCAGACGTCTCGCTTGCCCAATATTTTCATTAGAACCAAAAAGGAACAAAGCTGATGACACCCGAAACAGTCTCAGCCCTACTTTATGTATTTTTTGTCTTAATTTTTATTTCATTAATTTTTTATCATTTGCAGATTTTAAGGTTTAGATTGACTAATGGCTATTTTTAACTACTGCTTCAGTCATGTCATTTTTTAATGATTTTTGGCTGCAATTTTTCTGTTTGCATTTAGCTGTGTTGCTATTCTCTAAGAGTATTTGTCAAGTCTACAGGCTGTCAGGCTGCCTGATCACAGAAGAAGGTTGCAAGTCTCTGGTCTCAGCTTTTAGCCTCAATTCTTCCCATCTGAAAGAGCTGGACCTGAGCTACAATAATCCAGGAGAGGCAGTAGTGAAGATGCTTGAGCAGCTAAGACTGGACACTCTGAGGTATGTAGATGGCCGTTACAACCACAAACACTGTCTGATAGATGAGGAAACTGACCCTGTCTGATTACTTAATGCTGGAAACTAGTGTAATTTGAATAATCACACATGTAGGAACATTTTTCCCATTCTGGTCTAACATAAACAGTAGATGTCTGTATGGGGTCTCAAAGGGCAAATTTTCTATCAACAACAATGGTGCAACCTGTTCTAACTGATGTGTGGAAAGGAACTTACATCTTTACTCTCTGACCTTTATTTAGATTAAGTTTTATCTGTGTGTAGAGACCACGCCCAGGACATGTTTAGCCCCTAATTCTTCCCCTAATTCTAGCATAAACTAATTTATGCTAGAATTATGCTAATTCTAGCATAAACTAGAATTAGGGGGACGTTGTTTGCCTAGCTTAGAAAAAAAGAATTGTTAATATAAATGGATTACTAGGTCACTCAACCTAACTGGCCACCTACAAAAATAGGCTTTGCATTGCTAGTTTGCTGCTTCTGAGCGTTTACATCTGAGACTTGTTTGTGCTAAAATATCAAATTGATCTTCTGGACTTTGTGATGAAACAGTCACAGTTACATAAAGTCAAAGTTAATTAACTTTGGTTGAAATTCAAATTCAATTATAATAAGAAATAATAATTACAGCAGAAAGCGAATACTAAGGAACAATGGAATGGAGCTGGTGGAGCAAACTGGGTCACCGGTTGGGGTGTTAGGCCCAGACTAGTGGGTGTTTTTGACTGTAAAGCCGGTCTAGCATTAACAACCTGTTACCCTGCAGCCTGCACTGCAGGATATGTACTGTGCCATTGAGAGCTCCAGAAAGAGCCTGCACGGTGGTCCTGCAGCCAACCAGCACTTCAGTCAAATGTTATTGATATTTTTGCATAAATAAATGAAGATGATGAGCCTTTAAACACACATACAAAAGGAACATGTAAACATATGCTATAATTATTTTAGTGTGATGCTGTGATACATCAGATTGTGAAATATCACTGACATTACATACTGTGCTCAACTGAACTCTCAAATGTACAAATATTTGTTAGGATATATACTGTTATATACAGTTAGGAGAATATGAAATAAATCTATACATCATAAAGGTCAGCCAGAGGACAGAAGCAATCCGAAAACGACAAGTATGAGAATGAGAGTGAGTGAAACAGAGCAAGAGAATACAAAAACAGAAACAAATGAAAAGTGAAGTGACAATTGCTTCCTTTTGTCTTAACTGCAACTGCTTCTGTTTGCACATTGATCTGATTATTTATGAATTCTTGCCATTCACATTCAGGTTAAGTAGCAGCACATCACAGATGGGAAAATGAAAAGCAAGCAGGTCCCTCAGTGATCATCCACATGCAGAAAAATACAACAAACCTGTTAATTAACAGGTCACAGAGTCACTGATATTGTCAATTTAGAACAAACAGAGAGAAGACAGAGACAGAGTCTGAACAAAAAAATAATAGATGATTTTATAGGGTGATGAAAGAGGAACTCTTCTCAGAATGAGTGGCAGGAAGCAGGAATGTTGACTTAATTTTAGGTAAATTAAGCTCATTGGCTATTCCTGCTGTTTGTGTCATATCACAATG